GCATGCACACATGCACTTAGGTTCATAAAGTAAAATTTCTTACTCTGGACAAAAAGTTTGAAAAGCACTGTCCTTGAGCCAACCTCCCTCCAAATCTAGAACTTCCCTGTCTGGAGAATGTATGTAACTGCCATACAGACAGCTGTAGTCTCTGCTTCCAGGGCTGGGGATGCAGGTTCATTACCTCTCAGGAAGTCTAAAAGGCTGCTAGAAATTTGTCCTGTCTTTTTTTTTTTTCCCAACTCAAAAAAATTATGTAAATCAATTCATCCATCATATTGTTGTTTCTTATTTGGAAAATTTAAAAACCACGAAAAGCATGCAGGAAAAACACAATATCCAGAATCTATGACTGTTACATGCTATCATAATCTGTTTTCAGTAGATTTTTTTGTTTTTTTAAGAAAGACCATTTTCTCATGCCCTGGATCCACTCCTCTCCCCACAGTTCCCTGGGCTGTCATATGTTTGTGGATGGATCATCTCCAGTTTTAACACTCTCACGTGCATTTAACAACAACATGAGTATTATCTGGTTATTGCATGGAGTTTATGTCAATGTGTAATTGTATCATTCTGCATCTCATTTTCTTGACTGGAACTTGGGAATTTGAGAAAATATACTGTGTCAGTCAGCTCTCCATCACTGTGACAAATTAAAAGGATAAAAGATTTATTTTGGCTCATAGTTTCAGAGGTTTCAGTCCAGAGTCACTTGTCCCTGTTGCTTTGCACCTATGGTGGCACATACATAATGTCGGATCACATGAAGGAGGAGAAGGCCTGTCTACCTCCTGGGAGCTGGGAAGCAAAGACAGAGACAGGAAGGGGCTGAGGCCCAACACCTCCTGCAGGGCACACCCCCCAATGACCTCACTTCCTCCCACTAAGCCCCGCCTCCTAAGGGCTCCCCCACTGACCTCTAGCACCATGGCTATAATACAGGAAGAGCTCTCAATCTGAAAGAATTATTCCCAGCCTTCTAGAACTTCATCTGCCCACAGATTCTGCTTCCAAGGGCAATCCTATGTCAAAACTTGCAGATGAAACATCTGTTCTTTAGCACAGAATGAGATTTTCCTTCCTATTTATTCCCTGGAATACCAAGTTTGCTCTCAGTAATGGAGAGTAATGTATAAATACCCAGCCTGAAATACATGGTCATAGCAGCACAAAACCCACTAAGACACCCAGGGAAGGAGGCCATAGGTACCTGACATGCTCTAAGAGTCCATTGATCGTACTGCTAGCACAGGAGCATGTGCGTCCAGTCTTCAAGGTAAACCTCCCCATAGGAGAATTTGGCTCTGGCTTTGAACCATCAGTTCTGGCAAAGAAGGAGGTGTAGGTGCAGAATGGGATCAATCCAAGTCTGGGCTTCTCTGGCAGTACAGGCTAAGAGCATGCCTTAACAACAGGACATGGCCAGGGAGTCTCTTAGGAAGTCTTTCTTTTATCCAGGCAGTCCACCTCTGCTGAGCACCTGCACTGGGCTCTGATGCAATTTAGCATTCATTCATGGGATAGGGTTGGGCACAGGGATCTGAATTCTAGGCCTGGCTATGTGTCTACTTAATTCTCTGAATCTATGTAACTACTTAATTCTCTGAACCCCAGTTCCTTTAACTCTATATGAAGAATAACCCATGTCTATTTAGAAGGTCTTTACTTATTTATTTTTTAATGATTAAATGCTTGATGCCGGTACAGGTCTCAAATATTCGTTATTTTGTTACCGTGACTTTTAACCAGGCACTGTGCTAGGTTGTGCAGGTGCAGAGGTGGAGAGAACCTGGGTCTCCTCCAAAAGACATTAGAATTCAGTGGGTTGCCTGTTCAATCTGTTTTTTTTTTCCCCCCTTGGTCACTACCTCCTGAAACTACTTTTTTTCTTTTTAAATGCAGAAAGTGCAAATTATCTCCCGGAGGCCAACAAAATGATGGTTAAATTGGGGGGCAGCATGGGCGGGACACAGCTTTGAACTGAACTGGCTGACCACCCTCTTGGAGAAGGCAAGGACGGGTGGAGCTAGAGGAAAATAACAAGTCAACAGCTTCTTCCCCAGGGGCGCGGGAATGCCCCTGGGTCTCTGGCTGTGTGAGGAAGACTATAAATAACAGAGCCAGCTCCGGATTAAGACAGTCTTTCAATCACAGGTCTGGGAAGTTGGGATTTTCCTTAGACAAATCTTGTAGCTGTTGATAGGTGTGTGTGTGGTGGGGTGAGAGGGAAGACACACGACTTTCTCATGTATTTGATTAGAACTTTGGCAGATCTGAAAGAATCTTCATATTCTCTAAGTACCCTTTCTTTCTTCTTTTTTTTTTTTTAAGGCTATTTTTCCAAGATAGAATTGCCAAGTGACTCTAAAACTTAACCCAAACGTAGATTCTCTGAGTTGCCTGATTGTGTGGTCATACACACACCTTAAAGATGCAGCCCACTTTAATTTCCGTCCACACCCGACCTTGTATCCAGAACATACACGTTTATCAAGGAAGGCAGAGTCACAACCTGCAGCCAGGGAGAACCGCTAGGCCTCAGTTGTAATTAGTAACCACAGAAATGAAATGTGTGAGGTCGCGCCTTGCCTACTGGTTTTGCGTTTAGTTCTACAAATTACTGTTTGAAATAGATCAGTGCCAGAATTTGCCTTTCATAAAGTCAGTTTGTAAATAAAATCAATCCAAATATTTGTGTCAGTGCCGTAATTACAGAAACCAAATCTTTAAAAGGTGTGGGACATATTGGTGGTGAGAGGGACAGAATAACAAACGGGGGAGTCAGTCTGTGGCCTGGGAGCAGAACGCAGAGGCCACCCCACTGTCCCTCAGAGGGTCAGGTTTCATCTGAGCCACAGGCATGCACTAAGAGTTTCCTACTCCCTGGGCTGGGTGCCCGGAAGAGGGGGTGTACTGGGGCATGAACCCAGGGGGATCTTTCAAATGAAGCTCCTGGATCAATTTTAGGTGAGGTCAGGATCCAAGAAAGGCAGAGAGTACAAGAAGGATATTCCCATGTAAAAAGCTACAGAGTCCTCTTGCTGCTGTTACTGTTTTCTTAAAACTTTTTCACTTTGCGGTGGGGTGCTAAAAAAACAGTTATTCAAAAGCTGGAAAATGAAGCCAGGCCTGATGGCACATACCTATAATCCCAGTTACTGGGAGGAGGTGGGTTTGATATAAGAGGATCGAAAATTCTAGGCCAGGGTGGGCCACTTAGCAAGACCTTGTCTTAAAATAAAAAAAATAACAAGGGCTGGGGATGTAGAGCCCACTTCAGTTCAATCCCCAGGACAAAAAACAAAACAATTTAGAAAATGGAGGTATCAACCTGTATAGTACAACCTAAATATAAATCGTTTAATGTTTCTGTATTCTTTTTCAGTTATTTGCCTACACGCATTTATGTTTTTACAGTTATAGTGTGCTTGAAAGCTTGTGATGTACTTTTCTCTTAAACTCGCTCCAAAGGTCAAGAGGAAAAGTATCAGTCAAGGAACTTTGTCAGTGTGGCCATACCAGGAAGGGGAGAGGACTTCATTTCCAGCCCTGACATGGTCTCCCAGACTGCACAAACCAGGGGACAGACACTCAGGCATCTTGGTCAAACCAAGGCATGTTGGATCATTAGCTCAAGATGGGTTAGGGCTGTCTCGCTGGCAGTGATAAGAAAGTCGCTGCTCCAGTGGGTGGCTTCGATGCATCATCAGAAGATTATTGCCTGTAATTCCAGCATCTCAGGAGGCTGAAGCGGGAGGATTGAAAATTCAAAGCTAGCCTCAGCAGATTACTGAGGCACTTAGTAACTCAGCGAGACCCTGTATGTAAATAAAATATTTTTTAAAAAGGGCTGGTGATGTGGTTCAGTGGTTAAGCAGCTCTGGGTTCAATCTGTGATAATAAGGAGAAAAAAAAAGTAGTGTATTGATCAAACCTGTTGCTCTTGGAGTCGGAAGTGATTGACAGCAAAGGAGACAGAGGCAAAATGGAGGCAGAGATGTCAGGTTTTTTCACATTTGCAGGCTTCAGTGAAGAGCCAGTGTTTTTATCAAAAGCAGCCTTTAGAGTTCTTGTGACACAACTATTAACATTGTATTAGGTGTTAAAAGTAAGCTAGAGATGATTAAGTCTATGAATGTCTGTAGGTTCTATGCAAATACTACACATAAGGGACTTCAGTTTCCACTTGATGTCCCTAGCAGTCCTGGAACGGATTCCTGCCCCCAGATACTGAGGGATTATATACTTTATAAATAAAACTTAAAAATTCTTAGCTTTCAATAATTATCCTTTAATGAGTTAGTGAGCTGTTGTATGGATTTGCTGTTCATTTCGTCTAGACAACAGCCCTAATGCTCAGTGTAACTATTATCCTTATTTTCTACCCGTGAAAGTGGGAAGGAAGACCATCAGAGAGCTTAAGGAATTTGCCCAAGGTTAACCAGCAGTGGAGCACTGACTCAAGCCCAGGCAGCTGCCTCCTGAGCTCTTTGTCCTTCCCCAGGGCTCTAAGTTCCCTCCCACTCTATCCATTATGCCAAAGTATAGTTTTAGTGCAATTAAATAAAAAATAAAAAAGCTTTATTCCTACCGCGGGGGGCGGGGGTGGGCACACACACACACTCACACACACCCTGCTACGTCTTACAACCCCCTCAACTTTTTCCTGACGACTGACTGGTTGTATACAACTTTAAAATTGGCAGCATGCAGGGGAGGAAGTGGGAGTTTGTATTTTCAGCTGGGTTCAGCTCAGTGAATAAGGAGTCCCCGTTTTCCCATCCTGCTCACGGAGTGGTCCTGAATTGTCCCTAAGTAGGAGAGATTTATGGACTGAATCCTGGTCCAAGTCAGAGAGAAAAGTATTCTTTAGAAAGACATCTTCTGATGATTATTTTGAGAGACTTTCTGTTAATCCCCAGCAAATCTGCATGTTAATAGGAATCATTTACTCAAAGCAGGGGTCCAGGAAAATAGCTTTACATAATAACAGTAGCTTGATTTGATTACTTCAATTTGGTTCTGGCCATTGAATTAAAGGTAAAGCCAAGCTTTTGGAAGTTTTACAGAGTAATAAACAAAATGGGAATAGTTAAATTAAGACTAACTCTGGTTTCAACCTGCACATCTTTATTACTTCTAATGAGCAGGGAGATGGAAACAGGATCCAGGAGTAGAAAACACTGATAATCTCCTTAGCATTTTGGATAATTTATTGGTCTCTCTCCCACATTGAGAGCCCCGAGCCTGCCAAATATTCAGTAAGAATTCTTGGCAGCCCCTTCCCCCGAAAGAGGCTATTGTCTTCCTTAGGGTGTAGTATAGTTTTCTTTATTTACTCCCCAAAATGCTGATAGACGTTTTCAGTTGCACTTGGTCACTGTGAATCACAGTTGTACTTAAAAAAAAAAAAAAAATTTTTTTTTCCACTTACAGAAAAATAGCAAAAGCGATCCAGCAGGAAGTTCCTGTGGACCCCTCACCCAGCTCCCCTGGTTAAGATCTTACAGACACACCATAGAGCATTTATAAAAGGTAAGAATTAACTTTGCATGATGCTATTAAGTAGAGTTCAGAACTTATTCATGTCACTGATTTTTGCCACTAATGTCCTGTTTCTGTCCCAGGAGCCCGTCCAGGATCCCACATTGCATTGAGCTGTGTTAGATCCTTAGCCGCCTTCAGTCTGCAACAGCTTCTCCACCTTTCCTTGATTTCACGGACTCTGCACTTCTAAAGAGCAGGGACTGTCGTTATGTCCCACAGTTTGGCTTTGTCTGATGTGATCTCGTGGTTAGACTGGGGTAATGTGTCCTCAGACCTCCTGACATCCTCCACCAGCTACCCGACAGTGGATGCTCCGAGGTCCAGAGCCAGGTAAGGGATCCAATTTGATCCTACTGTTACAGGGCAAGGGCTGATGCTGAGCCAAGGCCCCTTCTTCACCCCCACCCTTGCAATCACGGCAGGGAGATTTCAAACCTGTGGCTCAGAGGAGCAGTAATGAGTCTATTGAAGGAATAGGAAAAGGGAAAAGGAAAGAGGGAAAGGGTGGGTCCTCTTGGGAGAAGGGTGGCCTGCCCCTCCTGCCTTTCTTTTTACTGGGAATTCAAGGAAATTTCCAGACAGTCCCATCCAGGTCCACCTCTTGACTTCTGACTGACAGCAGGACTGCATCAGCCTTTCAAGTCCCCTGCACATGGTCTGACCCCATGGAGGGGAGACACGCTGAAGATGCAAGGCGACTCCATCACCGCGGCCCTTGCTGACTGGTTCTAATCGGGTCTTGTTCTTACAGATTGCGATGGTTGTTTTGAGGGTAACTTGTGTTCTTATTGACAGGGAGGAACCTTTGGGCTTCCATTTCTCAGGCAGATGACAGGTTGTCTGTTGAGGAATGTAGCAAGACCCCTTCGACTTAAGCCAGGACAGGGCTGCAGGCACATTGCTTTCTCAAAAGGAGCATGTGGAGGTCAGCACAGTAGGCCCAGTTTACAGAACAACCCCCTTAGCCTCACGTTCCCACTGCTCACGCCTGTCACCTATCGAGTCACTCCTGCAGGATGGTGGGGGATGAGCCAGGCAACCCGGATGTTGAGGGGTCAGATATGAAGTTGGGGGCTGTGACTAGACTTGACAGGATGCTTGCTAAAATTAGACAAAGCGAAAATGGTCCCCAAAGACCAGGACCCAGTTGGGAAGAGAGGTGAGAAGAAGGAGTGTGATCAAGGAGAGACCCTTGGTTCAGAAGACTTGGGGTCCCGTCATTACGTAGTCGTGGAAACTGCCTACATAGGACCCTGGGCCTGTTTCTGAAAACTCTGTCATCAAATAGATTTTCAATTCTGGAAAAAAAAAAGGCGGTTGAGAATTTTCACCCACAAATTAAAATTTCTTCTGTTTTTAAAAAATAAGTGTATTTTCAATCGATTAGAATTGGAGATGAAGGATGAGGACAATTAAACCAAATGGGAAAAATGGGAACCCAGTCCCCAAATAGATATCCAACTCGTGGCCAGTCCTGGGAAATTCTTGGTGGTCTGAGATCCAAATAAAGAGAGTAGGAAGGAAGGCTTTCTCTGCCCGCTGCCTTCTCCAGTTTTATTTCTATTTTGTGGTAATAAAATTATCCTTCTCAGCATTCTGCAAAATGAAAGTATTAGTGTCTTTGGCTTAGCCTCAGAAATCATCCCTTCATGCTTACATGAACATTTCCTTATTTTCCAGGTGTATCCAGCTGAGATCTGATGACAAGTGAAAGAAGCAGAGGAAAAGGGAAATCCAATCTGGAAACAATCACAGATACTCATAGGGAAGGTGGTGACATGTGAATCATCTCCTCATCGTGGTGCTTAAACCTCTTTCAAGCTCTTACTCTCTGATAGCTCCTTTTCATTTGCTCCAGGCCACCCACACCTCATGTCATGTATCCATTTCTTTACTCAGAAATAAAATGCATGGACCAGAAGGCGGACCAGGCTGGCGGCATTGAGCAAGCGCTGCTAACTGGCCGCACTAGTCATCGAAGTTCAGGCCGTAACTAGCGTTCACGAATCTGAGCTGTGTGGTCCAGTCGGGACCTCCCAGCCAACCCATCCAGAGGGTCAAGGTAAATGCAGCCAGTCCTTTGCACTCAAGTTTCTACATTTGTGAATTCAAGAAATCGCTGATCAATTAGAGAAATGCAAAACAGGATGACACTGAGATTTCATCTCACTCCAGTCAGAACGGCAATTATCAAGAACATAAGAAACAATAAATGTTGGCGAGGATGTGGGGGAAAGGTACACTCATACATTGCTGGTGGGACTGCAAACTGATGCAACCACTATGGAAAGCAATATGGAGACAACTCAGAAAACTACGAATGGAACCACCATTTGACCCATCTATCCCACTCCTCAGTATATATCCATAGGATTTAAAATCAGCACATTATAGTGACAGAGCACATTGGTGTTTATAGCATCTCAATTCACAATAGCTAAACTATGAAACCAACCCAAGTGCCTTTCAATAGATGAATGGATAATGAAAATATGGTGTATATATACATAATGGAGTATTATTCAGCCATAATAAATGATGACTTTATGACATTTGCCCATAAATGGGTTGATCTGGAAACTATCATGCTAAGTAAAAATGCCAGTCCTAAAAAGCCAAACATCCAGTGTTTTCTCTGAGAGGTAGAAGCTAACCTACAATAAGGCAGGGGGGAAAAGAGAAAGAATAGAAATTCAGTAGATTAGGCAATGAGTATAGAGGGAAGGGAGGAGGGATAGGAAAAGGAAGGACAATGGAATGAGTCTGACAAAATTTTCCTATATACATATATGAAAACATCACAGTGAATCCCACCACCATGTACACCCACAAGAAGTGTTCTTAACTACAATAAGATATATTCCATGCTTGTGTAATTATATCAAAATGAATTCTACTGTCATGTATAACTAAAAAAAAGAGCCACTAATTTTTTTTTAAAAAAAGAAACTTTTTTTTCCAAATATTTTTAAAACTAAAAATATTTGGAAAAAAAAAAGTTGCATCTGTACTGAACATGTAAAGATTCTTTTTGGCCATTACTTCTTAAGCAATATAACATGACAACTATTTACATAATGTTTTCATTGTATTAAGCATTATAAGCAACCTAGAGATGATTTAAGTACATAGGAGTAAGGTACATAGGAGAGGGTAGGTTATATACAAATTTGATGTCATCTTATTTAAAAAGCTTGAGCATCCACCAATTTGGATATTTTCAGGGAGTGAGGGTGGGTGTCCCCAAACCAATCCCCAGGGATACCCAGGGATGACTTGTCTTCAACTTCTGTGTGTTCTGCTCATGTTCTTATCTCATAGTTCACATAAGTCCTTGTCGTATGGGTTCAATAAATGGCATGAGTTTGAATAAATAAAGGCATATTATTTCTTCTGAAAAAAAATATATAAATAGGTCAAGCACCACCGAAGAGATGCTTGATAATGAAAGAAGGGAGATATGAATTTAAAAAAAAGAAAGAAAAAGAGAAGGTATTCCATAAGACAAAAGCAGGGGCTATTCCCCTAGGAAAAAAATAGCCTTAAAATTCCAAGGAAAAAGAAACAAACAAAATAACAATAGTAACCATAATGATAATAATAAAATTCAAATGAAAAGTCATGAGGAGAAGTTGAATCTGTGTTTACGAAACTCTGTTGAAGAAGACTGGGACATGTGCAAACTTTAAAAAGTAATTTTTACCTAAAAGTATTAGTCTCAAAACAAATTTTGGTCCCCTAGGAAATAAATATGATTTAGAAATCCGTTTAACACAGAACCTCTTTTCCTTTCTTGTGCCAGAGAGCAAGGTATCATTTGGTGGTTTCCTGAAAAGTCAGTGCCAATAGTCGCCCTGACCGAGTGGGAGGGGCTGCCCTTATTAAAGCAAACTTTCTCTAAGTTGTATCTGCAGATGGCCTGGCTGGGGAGCACGCTCTTGGAAGCTTCCCGCAGCATTTTGACCCCCTCTGCCCTGCGCCTGTCTGTGCCCCGGCTCTGAGAGCTCCACACACACATCTCCACAGCAGCTGGTGGGCTGGACCCCAGCAGCCAGCGTGGAGCAAGCAGAATGCGCGATTGATGGGGAACCTTGGAGAACAGCCCCGAGCCAAATGGTTCCTTGCACAGAGCCAAAAGGATGAGGGTGGGCAATCCGTTTGGGGGCAAGAAGCAGGGTCCCACCAACATGACACGCCTTTTCTTTCTCTGCACAGCCCTGGTATTGTCTGTGACATAATGCTGTCCAGTCCGCGTACAAGGGCCGCTCCTGTCTTCTGTGAACGACTCCATATTAAATTTGAGAGCAGTGGGTGTCGTTCGCTCACAGACACTGAACAGAGGCCCATTCTATGTGCAGAGGAAGGAATCAAGGATCCCAGGCTGATTTTTTAAAAAATTGGGTGGTCTTTCTCTCTAAGAAAGTTTGGAAATATTAAAAGCCAGGACCCACAGCCACTTTCCTGGAAGAAGAGGGCAGTCCCAGGAGTCGGAGGGCAGGCTCATGGGAAGTGCTATGAGTAGAAGAGACAGGAATAGTGGGGGAGTTTCCATCCACTCCCCCTGGGTTTGTAGCCCTTGCAGACCAAAGTGAGCCATTTGTACATGTAGGCCACTCCCATCCCATTTTATTCCAACTAGAATCTTTGTTAAAATAATTATTTAAAACAAGTCACCCAGGTGATGTGACAAGGTATAAAGATTAAGAAAAGGTCAAGAAGAGAGATACAGGAATGAAGGGATTTAATGACTTTATACAAAAGGTAAAACATACCATATGGTCACTTCCACTTTGAACAAGTTTTGACCATATTCCTACCGTATAAACACTATATAACACGTGTTTTCATTTCATCATGAGCAATCAGCTCTTCAGATTTTTATTGACATATGTTTTAACATCGTTTGGACAATTCTGTAGATACGATGTTGTATTTTTTCCAGGTCCTAATCACTTATCATCTTTATCATTTTTTGTAAATAGGTAACATTATATTACGTCAATGTTCCATAATTTATTTATCCATTGTTTGTTGCAAAGCATTTAGGTTACTTTTAGCTTTCCACTATCATAAATAACACTGCTATAAATATATCAGTGCATACACCATTTCTTCTTTTAAATTACTTCCTTGAAATAAATTCCAAAGAATGAGATTGCGGGGTCAAAGAGTACAGACATTTTAATGACCTTTGACCTACATTGATTGCCAAATGCCCTCAAAAGGCATTGTGCCAGTTTTCAAAGAATGATATACCTGCTTTCCCCATAGTCCCATCAGCACTGAGTTATTTATAGGAGACCCTCTGTATTTTCATTTCTTCAATCTCATTTGTTTGAGATTAAATAATATGCCTTCAGGAGTATTATGACAAGTAGCTATATAACCCCCTGAGTACTTAAGAGTGCTTTAGGACATAACAGGAAGAAAAACAAAACAACAACACAAAACAAGCTGAATCAATACTTTCCCAGCCGTGCTCAAAGCCTTTGCAAACTGAGTGTCTGAGACGCACAGTGAGGTTTCAATCCTGAGGACAACAAAATTGGTTCTGAAACGACCAGAAAAACTTCAGCACACCAGGGTCAGATAACTGAGTTTTCATTTTAGGCACACATTCACACACAAAGCTCTAAACTTTGCTAAAAGATGAAGATTAGGGGAAGCTCACTTATAATGGCTAAGGGAAGTTCACTCATAACGGAGGCTCACTTATGTTATCAATGCTTAAATTAATGATGTTGAGCAGCAAAAAGTTTACTCTGGATGACCTCCTGCAAAGACATCCAATTATTTCACAGTTGTTTTTCTGTCTTTCCTCCATGTCTCCAGCTATCTTGAATAGAGAGAGAGAAGATAAAAGAGTGAAAGTTAAATAACGAAGGGCAAGAGTCTCTCTCTTTCTTTCTATGAATTTTGCCTTTGACCTGGTCCTATTTTCTAGAAATACTGTGCAAACAGAGAAATGGGTAAGTTGTGTGTCAGTGGGTTTTACAAAGAGCATGATTAACTGAAAACAAACAAAAACCCTGAATTCTTCAAGACCAGCCCAGTTCAAATATTGTTGCTTCTTTTTTTTTTTTAAGAGAGAGTGAGAGAGAGAGAGAATTTTTAATATTTATTTTTTAGTTCTTGGCGGACACAACATCTTTGTTGGTATGTGGTGCTGAGGATCGAACTCGGGCCGCACGCATGCCAGGCGAGCGCGCTACCGCTTGAGCCACATCCCCAGCCCTTGTTGCTTCTTAAATGCCTTCTTAGTGTATCTTGGGATTCCTGTCATAGTGTAGATGTTCTATTAAAGTCCTTGGAATGAAGATTGAGTGGAATGTGGCAAGTTGATGGGACCTGCCTTAGGGCACACAGTAAAGGTCTAAAGGACGTGTAGGGATTCGAGTTATTCAGGAAGCAAATCCACTTCCTTCGAACTGGCATCCTTCTCTCCTGAGCCCCTGGCATCAGCTGGGAGTGTCCCCTGGTGTTTGTAACTCCCAGTGCCTGAGAAACAAGAGCATGTCAATGCATATTTTAAAGCCCCATGCTCGCAATGGAAAAGCAAAAACCACCATGTGCAAATGTGAGCTCAGATCCATCCCTACCCCCATCACCACCCACAAAGAGGGCAAGAAAGTACTGAGGAACAGCCTAGTGTCACCAGAAAAGGGTGGGAGAGGCATTCAATGGGAGACGGATGACCAGGAGCTCCCTGGATGGGGCCCGGGGTGCTGCTGACTGCCTGGCGGCTGTAGGCAGCCACAGCCCTGCTGGCCCCTGGACCATGCCATCGACGGTGACCTCCAGCTGGGGAGAGGCTGGGATAACAAGACAACCTTCAGCCCTGCTCCGGGCTGCTGATCCCTAGGCACTTCAGGGCAGGGTTAGTGGGACGGTGGGAAGATGGAGTAACAGAAGGTGAACTGGAGGAAGGCATGTGATCTGCCAGAGAGGACCCTTCATTTAGAGGAAGTAAGTCTGCCCGGGAGGGGCCTGCACAGGGCTGGCTTTCTCAGTGGTCATCTCTCTTTGCACTGACATGCACAGTGGGGTCATCTAGCCCCAAAGCTCTGGCCATAGGTAAGGGGTAAACCACCGAAGGAGGGAAATTCCCTCCCCCTAGCCTCCACCCCATATGCAAGCTTTTCCCATCTCCCTCTCCAGCGGCATCATCTGCTTCTTCGTCTAAAGAGCACCTTGAGTATACCTGGTTGGATGCTCATCCCCTCCCCATGTAAATTTGTTTCTCTGTTTCTCTTCCCAGTTGGGTGACAAGCTTTGGAACAATGATGGACCCAAGTTTATCCACTGGGCAATTTCTAGCCCTGAGCACAACACCTAATATATGTTCTTATTAAATAAAACTCCCCGTGCTCCATGGTTATCGAGCATGTGGGTAAGCGTGGGGTTAAGGGGTGAGGAATTTCTTTTCTGGACCTCAGAAGGCATCACTGAAACCATTCTGGTGGCAGCAGGCCATTTGTCCCCAAAACCAACCCTTCAGAGGGAATCGCTTTCATGCCTCACCTTGAAGCAGGTTGTAGGGGTTATTTAAACTCCGCACGCCAGTGAGCTGGGGTCACTCTTGTCCTCTCATTTCTGCTGCACATATAAATTGAGACCCAGTTGTACTGTTGACTCTGACTGTGCTCATGTGCGAATGGCAGCCAGTCCATGTCCTGTGGCAGTTTGCAACCTATGGAGCCGGGCAGTGCAGAAGGTTAAAAGAGTTTTAAGAAGGCCTAGGGACTCTCTCCTGGAGATTATCAGGGAAGGCTCCATGGAGGAGGTGCCCTATCCAGGTGATCAGGATCCAGTGCCTCGGATGTTGACAGTGACCAGGTAAGCCCCACGGGAACAGGCAGCTTCCCAGCGAAGCCGCCAAACCTTAGGTTGAAAGAACCTTCGTTTGCAGTCCCTTCTGAGGCTTGGGAGGGCCCTACCAACTTGTTCACATGCTCATTTGTTTGCAAAATTTGCATCTGTTAGAAGTTTCAACGGTAATCCATTAAGATTATGATCTCATAGCCTTGTATTCTGACCCCCTCTCCCACTTCCCTTGTGTCTGGGGATGGTGGAGTGGCTGAGAGCATTTGGGGGAGGTGGTTGATGGGCATGTGAATTTGGGAGGAGTTAGCTTAGTGGGGCTTGTTGGTATGCTTGGCAGTGACTTCGCGTTCACATGGAACCTTGTGTTCCTACTTTTACGATCTTCTTAACTGCACAAGCTGGGATTCTCCAGTTTATGGTCATCACATACGCCAAAGTGCCATCGTGGAGACACATCGCTGGCAGCTGGAACGCTGGCTTTGGCCTCTTGGTGGGAGAAATTTCCAGAGTCGCTCTTCCCAGGGGAGAGCAGCTGCCCCATCCTCGGAGGAGCCGGGTGGGGGGCGGGTGGTGAGGGCACCAGGGCTACCTGGAGGCCAGAGCCTGCCCAGGGGCCTTCCTTCCTGGCCACATGGCTGCCACTGGCCAACAGCTGCCTGTGTGCAGTCCCTCTCCCCAGAATCTGTGTGGCCATTCATCGCAGGCCTCCTCTTGGAAAGGCAAAGAAGGTTGCATTATTCTAGGTAAAGCTTATCATTTGCATCTGCCAAGACCCATGCATTTCCCCTCCCTCCCTGCCCCTTGGCCCCCAGCAACTTCCCTCCCCCTTCTTTTACCCTCTCTTGTGGGTTTTCAATAGTGTGTGCCTTTTTTCTTTTCCCCCTTCTTTCTGGTCAAGACAAGGTTGTCTCTCTGGATGGAAAAAGGCAGTGTGTTCGTGGAGTGCAGCTGCATTTCAAAGGTACTTTGTTGGCCAGTTATGAATTTGCCTTTGCTAATGTGGGGAAACAGGGAGATTCTTTGGCTCCCCCCTCCCACCCTGAAATTGATGTTATTTCTCTGCCAGTGGTACCCAAGGAAATGTTTTGTTCCATTTCCTCCCCTTTCAAGCTGAGCCCTATTTATGTTGGGAGCTGGGGCACTGCCATTAAGGATCATTGTCATTACCACCAGCATCTGAGGCTGGCCAAATTCAGCAGCTGTGGTTTCATGCCTACCCTCCCCAAGGTTTATTTCCCTGACAACATGTCCTTGTTTAGACCAACTTTCTTAGTCTTTCTCCTGTGGCACCCCCACGACCCCCACCCTTCCCCCCAAATCACTCTTACAGTTTTGTGGGGCTTAAAATTAAAAAAGGAAAAAAGTGTGTGTGTGTGTGTGTGTGTGTGTGAGTGTGTGTGTGTGTGTGTGTGTGTGTTGGAGGTAATGGACAAGGGATTGGAGCTGGAAAAAAAGATAAAGACTCTGGGAGCCGGAGGAAGGGCGCAGGGGCCGGAGCCTGGGGTAAAGGGTGGGAAGTTTCGCCACAGATAATGGAATCAGATTCATTATGGTTTTGATGGTCACCCTTCTTCTCCAACCCAAGTGTGCAAGGCTCACCCTCGGCCTTGCCTGCCCCAGCATGTCCAATGGAATACCTAGGTGGCCCAAGGGGACCCCTGACCCCTGTATCCTGTTCCTTTCTCCCCGCTTTGCTACTTTTCTCCTCGATAAAAGGAGAGAGTGAGAGATAATTAACAAAAAACATGGCCCCGGGACAATGAAACAACTGGCCTTGGCCGGCAAGAAACGCATCCTGGTTTTCTAGGTAAACCCTCTCCCATCAATCTTTTCTTTAACCTCCCTGTTAGTGGAAGCAATAGGAACACCCCTCCCCTCCCCTGAGCAAATGCTTTCTTTTGACTGGAAACAAAAAAAGGGGGCTCTGCGAAGACAGAGGTGAAATCTGGGTGGTATGGGCACCGCACAATGGGGCCGCTGTTCCTGGCCGGGCTTGTGTTTTACAACAGGGGAGGGGCGAGCGTGAATGGGCCCACGATGGAGACAATCCCCCTGATTCAGGCCTACAAACGCATCTTCTATTCCGCACAGAGCTGGACAGAAAGGACGAAAGGGACAAAGAGCGTGGGGCGGGGAGAAGGAAGACAAAATGTGTCCAGCTCAAAAATCTCTCCTATCCTACACGTCCCAGCCAGGGAGTCTGTGCAGAGAGGCTTCGGAGTCCCGGGCTGCCTCTGAATGGCTTTCTCTGGACTCTGATTTATTGATGAAGCTTAAGCAACTCACTGCAGAAAGGCCGGGGGGTTTCTTTGTCCTGGAGATAAAGTACAATAGGCCACAATGGCCAAGATCTCTCGGGATGCTCTCGGGTCCTGCCTTTCTCTTGCCCTCTCCTCCCTGCAAATGCCAGCAGCCGTGAAAAACGACCGGTGGTGTGCCTGGGAGTGCTGAGGACAGGCTGGGCCACTTGAGGTCTCCTTAAGAGGGTATTATGGTCAGGGAAAATATTTGTGCTGTGAAGATGCCACACTCCATTTTGTTAATGGCTCTCGTCTGCCCCAGATGATCACACACACCCCCTCCCCGGCTGTCAGGGCCCATTCACGGCGCCCTCGGAGACAGCACCCTCTCTGTGGCAACCAACATGGGGACATTGTGTTCACCTACTTGAGCAGAGGGGAAGGTGACCACGAGGGCAGCCCGCATTGTCAATTACCATTAAAACAAAAACAGGCAGTGCCTCCTCTGCCCTGGGACCCCGACCAATAAATCATGGCTGCCTGGTGGAGGAGAGCCCAGGAGAGACGGACGGGGTGCTGGGGAGTTCCTCCCCCAAGGCCCGCCGCCCACCAAGAGGCGTCTGGCTCTGGGAACGGGGCAGCTGGGGAGTCAGGATGGGCTGGCCGGCCACATGGACTGCCTGGGCATCCGAGAGGTGCCTCTCTTTGCTTTTGATAAGGGGGGACCTGGAGGGACACCTTGATGGCCCACGGGTCCTTTGCGCCCCTTCCTGACATTTATCTGCCAGCCTCTAGTCTTCAACACTACCAGAAAGAGAAGACCAGAGAGGAGAGGAGAGGGGAGGGGAGAGGAGGGGAGGGGAAGAGAAAGGAGAGGGGAGGGGAGGGGACGGCGGGGGGGGGGGGGGGGAGGGAAAAGAGGGGAGGAAAAAAGAAGGAGGGAGGGAGAAAAGAAAGGAAGGCAGAAAATAAACCATCTTCATTCACAGTCAGGAATGAGGAAGGAGCAAGGGTGATTTTACTAAAAATGAGTCTCTAGTCCTTGATTTGAAGTCTGCAGAAGTGAGCTTTATCCACCACACAGTGGTACTAAATGGCTCTGACCATCAACCAGGCGTGACCCTGCCTTATGAGCGTCGGGCACTTTGTAACTTGCCACATTACTATCCACTTAATTTTCTGTGCAGTAGGGTTTTTGACACTCTTTGAACCCATGTTCAAAATAGCGATCACTTTCCTCAATGTACCACACACAGTGAAGAAAGGCTCAAGAAGGGTCAGAGGAGGACCCTATTGGAATTTGGAGATGGGGCCATTCTTGTTATGTTCTGGCTGAAAAATTGTCTACGTGATGCCCAAGTCCCGAGACCTTCTGTGAGGCTGATTTTTAAAAGCAATGGACTTCTTCATCAGGCAGAAGAAATGTCTAGGCGGCGTAGCATTCAGGAAGTGGCATGGGTATTGCTGGTGGCTTTGAGCTAGGTTAATGGTGATAATCAGGAGCAGAAAGCAGAGCAGAAAGATTTGAAAAAAATGTGGGTTTGAAAGGCCAGAGTAAAACTAGGGCTAAGGAAGTTGCAGATGTTAAAGACCTTATGGCCACTGCGCCTAGAGACAATAAGAAAGACGGCCTGAGGGCATCTCAGGAGCCAGCGGACCACATCCATCTCTGGCTCCTGGGAGTAAAAGTGAAAATTATCTTAAAAAGAGACCAGTGGGGTACCCTCCTTGCACAGGGGGTCTAGGAAGTTTTTACGACACGCGGCCACCCAGACACTCACCTTTGCTGCAGCAAGTGTCTCTGGAGGCTGGGCTACTTACTGCTTCTGTCAACCATGTGGTGCTGGTTCTACAAGAAGGCAGGCTGCTGGAGTTAGCGGGTCATGGAGGCTTCCACCAAGATTGCAAAGGAAGACCTGGGAGGCCTGGCAAAGTGCAGCAGGGTCTGAGTCCCTAAGGGTGCTTCCTGAGAAGTCAAAGGGTGGAGATGTGAGGTGGAAGCCAAAGCTGTCTTGGAGATGCCCCCAAGACTAAGAAATGCCAGTAACATGGGACATCATCATAGGAAAGCTAAGAGAGAGAGAGAGAGGTGTCCACTTGCCAGATACAAATATACACCCCAAAGACACTCCCCTAATTCCCACCGCCTCCAGCCACACCCACCTGCCTCCAGTTACCACTCAGTTAATCCCTGCCAGGGAGCTTTTGGGGGACAACTCACAACCAAACTCAAGCAGAGACAAGCCAACAGAAAGGCCACTTGGGCTGCAGCAAACAAGGCCCCAGGGCAGAGTTCCACAAGCCCTCTGGAGAGAACATCATGATACCATGAGCCCCAGATGCCAGATGTGGAGCCACAGGATCCGTTTGCCCAGCTGGATTTCCATCTTGCTTTGGTCCTATCCCTTCTTTCTAAAGCCCCTGATTTTGTGAATGGAAATATTTACTCTGTGCCATTATATATTAGATACTTCTAAATTGCTTTTAATTTTACAGGAGGAGCTCACATGTGAGATTGCTTTGGACCTCAGAGAAGACTTTGGACTTGAATTTCAAGCAATCTCAGAACTGTTGACCATGGAGACTTTGGGGAATGGACTAAGGGTATTTTGCAATGTCAGATGAGTGTGAGCTTTGGGGGCCAGGGGTGGAATGTTATGGTTTGGCTGTGAGATGTCCCGAAAAAGCTCACATGTGAGACAAAGCAAGAAGGTTCGGAGGAGAAGTGATTGGGTTGTGTCTTTACCCAATCAGTGAATTAATCCCCTGATAGGGATTAACTGAGTGGTAACTGGAGGCAGGTGGAATGTGGCTGGAGGAGGTGGGAATTAGGGGAGTGGCTTTGGGGTATATATTTCTCTCCCCTCCCCTCTCTCCTTCCCCTTCCCCCTCCTGATCATCATATGAGCTGCTTCCCTCTGCCACAATCTTCCTCCATGATGTTCAGCCTCACCTGGAGCCCCAAGGAATGGAGCCGGCCTTCTATGGACTAAGATCTCTGAAATTCTGAGCCCTCAAATAAACCTTTCCTCCTCTACAATTGTTCTGGTCAGGTCCTTTAGTCACAGCAGCAAAAAAGCAGACTAAAACAGGGGTCCACCATGATGACCTCAGCTAATCCTAATCACCACCCCCCCCAAAGGTCTCAATCCAAATACCATCAACATATGAATTTGGAGATTAAGTTTCCAACACATGAATTTTTGGGAGACACATTCAAATCATAGAACATGATTGATATAAACTACTTCCAGAGAGAGACATGCATTTTGTTTTGTACATTTTTATGAGAATAAACAAACATACACATTGTGAACAGGATTATATACCTGAACATATTTGTTTTTTCTGTTTGCTTCTCCATTACCAGCAGGGGCAGTGTTTAAAAGATGGACTGAGAATCATACTGTGCTCCAGCTCAGGGGTGTGTGCTCAGGAGTGAATACGATCCATGATATCTTTACAACAGCATCCAACACATGAAGAACATCAGTGTAAGTGGGGCTTGGGGTCAAGAATAAACAAAATATAGTTTGTATATCAACACATAATAGCTTTGCCTATCAATACACAAGGACCTACCTTTGTTTTCTCAAAGACTCCTTTAGAGTCCACCCTATCATTATTTATCAAATGAATTTTCTAATGACAAACATTTATGTTTTCTAAACTTTTGACATTATAAACAATGATTCAATGAACATCTTGATGCACACATATTTTAATACCTTTCTTATTGTTTCCTTTTAACAAATAACCAAGAAATAGAGTCACTGGATCAAAGATAATACCACTACATTGTACTCCAGAAAGGTTAGATGGAAGGCTATCCCACCAAATCCTCACTGATACATTAATCATCATTCTTTGTCATCTTCAATAATCTAAAAATAAACAAATTGAGGTACCATTCTGATATGCAAACAGTTGATTAAAATTGGGGTGGGGCACCTTTCACGTTTTGTTCATATCCTCTGCCCATTAGTCTTTTGAGGGAATTGTTAAAAATGATTATCACTTTGTCTGCCCCAGGTGCTGTAAGTATTTTTTGCAAGTTTGCAGTTCACCTATTAACCTTGTTTCTGGTTCTTGGTGCCACACAAAAGCCAGAGTGAAGGGAGAAACGTGCAGAAAGCATCATTTCTGCAGAGATTGGTAAATCGAGTCCTGATGCATGATTGAAAGTCCACTGGACAGAGCATGAGTGGAGGGAAGCAAACAGGAAGGCAGGTTGGGTCCCGAGAGCCTAAAAAAATAAACTGACACTATCAGCTTCTTTCTGGCCTTTAAAGCAGCTGAAATTCATCACCTGAGTTCTTATAAAAGCAGAATAGGGGTCCCCTTTCATTCCCATCCTCTTCTCTTCCTTTCTATTCCAGCATGGAGGCAACCCCAGGGGCATGTCCAGTATTCAGGACATGGGGCATCAAGAGGAGGGTATGGTAATAATCTGTTATTAAACAAATAAGTTATATGATCACACAAATAAGGACACATACTAAGGGTAGAGGGAGCCTGGTTCCTCCCTGTCCGAGAATGGATTCACAACGATGTTAAGGGAGAAGACTAGAAGAAAGCAAGAGGTAATAGAATGGAATCGGAACTACCATTAAAAAGTAATTTTAAGCCAGGTGCAGTGGTGCACGCCTGTAATCCCAGCAGCTCTGGAGGCTGAAGCAGTAGGATTGTGAGTTCAAAGCTAGCCTCAGCAAAAGCAAGGCGCTCAACAGCTCAGTGAGCCCTGTCTCTAAATAAAATACAAAATAGTTCTGGGGATGTGACTCAGTGGTTGAGTGACACTTGAGTTCAATCCCTGGTACCCGCCCGCCCCCCCCCAAAAAAATAATTTAAAAAAAACATGTCTGTGTAGTTTACTTATATATATGTAATATGCATATATAATAATATGTATGCATGTCACCTGTACATACATACAGGTTGATATAGAAATCACATGACATGTGTATCTGTACGTAGACACTTATATGAACATGTGTTTTCTAGCTCTGTCCCCTGAGACAGTGATACCTCCCTAATAGCAAACCAACTGAGCACTCAGATCTTGTTTCTAAATACCCCTGCACCAAAAAGAGTAAAAGCTTTGTAGAGAAATCAGTGATTTGGGGCAGGGACAGAAAAAGTATAAAGTGCACCTGGAACACAAAGTTCCAGGTTCAAAGATGATGGATACATTCAAAAAGATGCAGAAGCCAGTTTGAACAAGCTCCCACTGGTCAAAGCAAGGCAATTTGAGAAACAAAATGAATAATGAGAATATCAGATTATATCCATTGAATAAAACAGGAGTCCAAAAATCCATATGATATAATTTAATGAATAAGTAAATGGAGAGGAAGAAAACATTTTCCATAATGGTAGAATCCCTATTAAACAAATATAGAAGGAATAAACCATATATCTGATAAGAACTTAGAGCTAGAATATAAAAACTACTGCAAGTCAATAAAAAAATACAAATTACCCAATTAAAAAATAAGGAAAGATAGCCAGATGCATTGACACATACTTGTAAACCAGGCTACTTGGGATACTGAATCAAGAGGATCACAAACTCAAGATTAGCTTGAACAATTTAGCAAGACTCTGTCTCCAAATTAAAAAAAAAATGGCTGAAGTAATAGCTCACTGGTAGAATGCTTGCCTAGCATGCATGAGACTCTGGGTTCAATCCCCAGTACCCACCACACACACAGAAAGCAAAGGATCTGGTTATACATTGGTTTCAGTTGTGTATTAGTCAGATTTGCATTACTATGGTGAAATACCTGAGGTGGCTGATGTTATTTTTTTAAAAAAAAGTTTATTTAACTCACAGTTTGGAAGCTTCAAGTCCAGGATGGGACAGCCTCATGTGCTTGGATTCTGGAGACAACGGCACATAGTGGTGAGAGGAATGTAGGAGCAATCGAGTAATCACATCTGGTACCAGAGAGAGAGAAGGGAAGATGGTGTGGTCCTGCAATCCCAATGTCCTAAGGACCTGCCACAAGGCCTTGCCTTCCAAAGGACCACAGCATCTCCCCATAGCATCACCCTGGGGTCCAGGCCTTGATACATGGACTTCTGGGGAACACTACCCATATGCAAGCCATGGCAGGTTCAATTGTGCCTGATCCCCAATTGAAATAGATATGTCGAACTTCTAATGTGACTATATTTGAAAATAAGATTGTTAAGGCTATCACAAGGTCATATTGAACCTTAAAAAACGGAGCTGGGGATGTGGCTCAAGCGGTAGCAAGCTCGCCTGGCATGCACCGGGTGCTGGGTTCGATCCTCAGCACCACATAAAAGTAAAATAAAGATGTTGTGTCCACCGAAAAACTAAAAAATAAATATTAAAAAAAAGTTATGCTAAGCCAGTCACAAAGGATCACATATTGTATAATTCTGTTTATGAAATATCCAGAATAGACAAATCTGTATAGACAGAAAATAGATTTGTGCCCAGGGCACAAAAGAGGTTGGGAATACTAGGGGTAACACCGAAGAGGTATGGTGTTCTAAAATTGATTGTGGTGATGGATACACAACTCTGTAAATATTTAAAAAGCCATTGAATTGTACATTTAAGTGAATAAATTGTATATGTGAATTATGTCTCAATGAAGCTGTTTAATTGTAGAAGAAATTGCAGAAAGAAATAATCACCATTTGCCAATCATCATAGCTACGGTGAGATGAAATTGGGTGGTTCTCCAACTTGTGCTGAACAGGTAGGAACTATGTACCCCAAAGTGACCACGCCCCCAGCCACACCCTATCCACCTTCAGTTACCACTCACATGCCTATCAGGGGATTAAGTCACCGACTGGGTTAAAGCTCTCATAACTCAATAATTTCTCCTTTAAACCTTCTTTCTTGGGCTCCCCCCACAGCTATAAGTCCCTCATGTGACTCATGTTATGTCTTATACCTGGAGAACAGGAATGCCACCCAGAAAGACCAAGATCAATCTGAGCAAACAGGCACTTCCTCATTCCCCCCAGTGTAGACCCATCAGATCATATCCTTTGTGTCCAATCATACTTCTATACAACTGCATTCTTTATCAAACCTAAGCATTAAAATACACAATTCTCCCCTAGGTCTTTGGGTGTCCATTTCTGAAGACCTGGAGCACATAAAACTCTGAGTAACTTTGGTGTGTTTCCTCTGGTTAATCTGTCTTTTGTGGTGGGGATGTCAGCCATGACCTTTTCAATAGGTGAGAAAAGGTATTACATTTTTTTCTCTCCCACAGGGTGGTGATGGTGGTGGTGGGGGGGGGTTCCCCTGACCTTCACTACTCTATTCTCCACCCAGTAGCTAGTATGACTGTTTTAGTCAGCTTTTTTGCTGTTGTGACTAAAAGACCTGACCAGAACAATTTTAGAGGACGAAAAGTTGATTGGGTGGTTCACAGTTTCAGAGGTCTCCATCCATAGACAGCAGGCTCCTTTCCTTGGGGTTCAAGGTGAGGCTGAACATCGTGGTGGAAGAGTGTGGCAGAGGGAAGCAACTCATATGATGATCAGACAGCAAAGAGAGATGAAGCTCAGCTCACCACATATAAACCCCAAAGGCACTCCCCAGTGATCTACCCCTTCCAGCCCTCCATCAGTTACCACTCAGTTTACTCCTATCAGGGGATTAATTCAGTGATTGGGTTAAGTTTTCATGACCCCAATCATCTCTCCTCTAAATCTTCTTGAACTGTCTCAGGAGCTTTTGGGGGACACCTCACATCCAAACCTTAACAGTGATCTTCCTTGTGTGACATTAATTATGTCACTACCTACTCAAACCTCTTCCAATGGTTGCTTCATTGCCCTTAAGTAAAACAAACACCTTGGCATGGCTGTATTACTTTTCTAGAACTATCACAACAAAGCACCCTGCCGCAGTCTGGCTGGGCATAAAATCACGAGCCACCACACACCTTGTAGATTCAAACAGCAATTCTTTATTCCCGAACTCACGCCGGCACTCTACACATGTTCTGGGGAAATCCACGTTCTGAATCCCAAATACTCTCTGAATCCCAAGAGAACTCAAGGGGAAGTCAAGGAGCCGGTGCGCTTGAGGCAGCAGGATACTCCCTATTTCCAGGAGGGTACACCTTAAACCTGGAACCGCCCTAAACCCAAGAGCAGGGATACTCCCTAAAACCTGATCCGCCCTGGTCCTTGAGCAAGGTCACCTTACTCAAGCATACATGCAATGTCACTGAAAATGACCTGGGTCCAAATGCAGCCCATTTCCACAATGGAGAGTCCTTCCTCTAAGCAACATGGGGTAGGCTGACAAGGAAATTTCGATGCGTCATTCCTACTTGGCTATGGCTCTCAGCAGCACCCCACGTGTCGGGCTTAAAATAACTTATATTTATTGTCTCACAGTTCTGGAGGCCAAAAGCCTGAAATCAAGGAGCAAGCAGGATTGGTTCCTCCTAAGGGGAACACCAGGCCTCTCTCGTTGACTTGTAGAGAGCCCAGAGCAATGGAGAGAGCCACCCAATGGGCTGAGACCTCTGAAACTAACAAGAATCAGTCAATAGACAATGTTCATTGGTGAAAAATTAAATCTTCCATGACATTATTCAGTGTAATACTCATTTAGGGTTTTTTTTCCCCCTATGGAATTTTTTACATTCATTAAAACCAGAAGAACTGCTTTATTTAAAGGTTAAAGAGAAAGGGCATAAAAATCATTCCATTTCCCTCTTCCTCTGTCCCTTTTTCTTCCTTTCTATAAATATCTATTATTAAATGTCATCTGCAACATAGTAAAAATCCAATTGCTGCATTAGGTTCTAGAAGTACAAAAAATTAAAAGATCAATATCTTTCCCTTCAGATGTTTATACCTCATCTTCTGAAATTACAAATCCACCTGGAAGTCCACATTTTTACACACATAGCGTACTTACCAGCTTGAAATCACTTCTAGTACAAAATGATCACAGTCTGTGTATGAGCTCTCCCGGTGCCTGAACTTACACGATTGTGTTTTTCTTTGGAACTTATACAATATTATTATTACATGTATTATTTCATATGATTCTCATAAAGGTCCAAATAATCTCCATTTTACTGGTGAGACCATTGAGGCCCCCAGCCATGAATAAATAATGCCAAGGGCCCAGAGTTAATGAAAAGAACAGCCAGAACTAGAACTCGGGGTTTCTTGCTTTCTGAGATAATAGTTTCCTCCCCATCACTATGAAGCTCCACTCCTTCATTGATGTCCTCTCAGCCCTGATTTGGAAGCCAGGCTCCAATCTCTGGAATCTGGATTTTTTTTTTTCATTATGTATAGACTTCACAGTGGACATTGTAACATGGGGCTGAACTTGGAATCACCCAAGAAATTTAGTGAGACAGCCACTATTCTGGCTGCTATCTCAATTTGGAGTAAATTAGAAGCCACAGAAATGGCCTAAAGCCAAGAAAAGGCAGAAGAAATGCAATTTCAAGCAGAAACCAAAACTAAATTCTTTTCTCCTGGAAAAATGTGAGGCTATGGACCTTCAAAGAGATGCAAGAATCTACTTACTGGCTTCTCTTATCAGTGAACAGGATTTCTAAGGCGCTAACATATCTTTTTGCATTCAGGTGGAGGGGTTAATCATGTTTGCTTTTCAGAAAAGGAAACAGTTCCCAGATGTGAGACCCTTTCTAAGGTTACATGGCAAGTCAGTGGCAAAATGAAGATGGCGGAGAAAAAAAGGTGAAAAAAGAGAAAACATGGGGTGAAAAGAAGTCCATTACAGGTCAATGGGAACCACTTTGCTTAAACAACAGGGGAGGGGCTTCAATTTTATAGATACATGTTAAATTAGTTAAGGCAATATCCTGTAACTGTACATTCAAACTCTCCTTTTTTTTTTGTACTGAGAATTGAATCCAGGGACACTCTACCACTGAGCTATATCCCCAGCCCTTTTCATTTTTTAAATTTTGAGACAGGATCTCCCTAATTTACCAAAGCTGGCCTCAAACTTGCGATCTTCCTATTTCAGCTTCCAATTAGCTGGAAGTGAGGGCCACTGTGCCTGACAACTATATATCTATCTCTGTCTATCTCTGTATCTATTTGTCTCTCTCTCGCGTGCTCTCTCTCTCTTGCTCTCTCTCTCTCTCTTTCTCTCTCTCTCTACATATATATATATATATTATATATATTATATAATATATATATATATTATATATAATATATATATATATTATATATATATAATATATATATTATATATATTATATAATATATATTATATAATATATATTATATATATATATATATTCTAGAAAAGTATGGCAAATGCAGCTATGGAAATAGATACACAAAACCTGAAGTAAATCCACAGCTGTTCAAAATAGCAGCCTTTTCTATTTTAGGAGAAATGGAACAACTTACAAAGCTAACTGTTGAGTTTGTTTGCCTGTCTGGTTCTCTAACAAAGGCACACAGGTGGTAAGCTCAAAATCCCTAGTAATTTCCTGGCAACCCTGATGTAAGACAGACATGAACAGTGTGTTGTGAGATTTTTTGAGAAGCTCTTGTAGCACCTCAACCTTCCGATCTCCAAAGGGGAAGGTGCTTTGCTGTCAGCTCTCACTAGAGAATGCTCAGTGGGCCACACAGCAGAAACTACACCTTGGGCCTCTGGGGACACCCTGACCCAGGATTTGGAGATTAGAGGAGACTAAATCAAGAAAGGCTATATAGCAACTCAATTCACAATAGCTAAGCTATGGAACCAGCGTATGTGTCCTTCAACAGATGAATGAATAAAAAAGTATGACATATATACACATAATGGAATATTACTCAGCATTGAAAGAGAATAAAATCATGGCATTTGCAGGTAAATGGATGGATCTGGAGACTGTCATGTTAAGCGAAATAAGCCAATCCCAAAAAACCAAGGACAAAGT